GGAAGGAAGGTTGGGCAATCCTACTTCTGTAGTGATACTGCCTCGGAAACCCAAGGAGGGGTCGCTATGAGTCAGGTTTGACTCGACGGCACATAACAACAACAACAACAATACAAAGGAATAGAAACAAAGAAAAAAGACCATCACTGTGATTTTCTTTAATTTCCATCTATGTTATATAACATGTGTAAATAGAAAACACTAAAAAATAAAATAAAATACAAACACTTTAATAGTTATTGTAAGAAATATATGAGATAATATATGTGAAACTATTTCTAAGATATGCTTATTATAGCATTGTAAATTACTGACACAATTTTGCATGAAGAATTAACTACATGCATTTAACTCTACTTATTCCTAATGTCCCACTAGTTTCACAAGTGAATACAACACATAGAAACCCAATGGACAAAAAGGACAGGAAGTGATAGATGGTGAGAAACTCATCATGATAGTATAGCAAAGAATCAACAGACTTCTGAGAAAAGTCACTAACATGAAAGAGATAGAAAAATAAAAACAGAAAACTGAAGGAAGGGTGTTTTAGCCCGGAAAGACTACAGATGCTAAAGAAAGAAAGGGTTATATTAGATGGAAATGCCTGTGAATTAAGGAAGGAATGAGATCCAGGGCCCATAAAGGAAGCCCTTAGTACAGTGGAGATAAGAAATAGCAAAGAGAGGCAGATGTAAATAAAGGAGAACACATCAGATAGCTAGCATAAGGTAAAAAAAAAAAATTGTTGCCATCAAGTAGACTCCAATTCATGGTGACCTCATGTGTGTCAGCTAAAACTGTGTGTTCCAGGGATATCACCACCTAATTTTGTCAGAAATAGATCACGAGGGCTTTTTTCCAAGGCATTTCTGCAGGGACTCAAACCTCCAAACTTTCAGTTAACAGCCAAGTGTGTTAACCATTTGCATCACCCAGGATTCCTCATAGAAGATAAAATTAGGAAATCTGCCTAGAGGTAGAGTAGACAGGGTCTTGAAGGAAGAATGCCTGTGGAGATGGAAAGGAATATAGGAATAGATGAGAAGAGGACTTCATGGTGGGAAGAGGGTGCTAGAGGGTAATCATCTAGTGCAATCTTTAACTATAAGGTCCAGGCAGAGAGAGGTCTCTAAAGAGCTTCTAATCAGACACATCATTTAGACTGATTTTCCAGAAATCACTTTAAGGGACTGAGTGCTTAGAAGGTCCACTTAGGTCATTTTTGTAAATGCAAGGAAGAAGGAAAGAAGATGTGTAATAAGTGTAATAGTATGATACAGAGGGAAATCGAGATCTTAAAGCTAAAGCAAACCAGAAAAAAAAAAAAAAAGCAGTTCTGTGGAAATCACAACATGCAAAGCCTTTATGGGGTCTTATTTATAAGCAGATAACTGGTATAATGAATAGATAGAAATGGTCAGTGATATGAGAAGTTTCCTTAAGAAACATTTGTTGGTATCATTTCAGTGTCACTGTCAAGGGCTGGAGTATTTTTTGATGATGTATAATTGATACATAGTAATAATAGCCATATTTGTTTAAAGGAACAAAAATATATCACTTATTTTCCAAAATGATAATGAAGAGTTAAGATTGGGCTTGATAAAACCAGTCTCAAGCAACATAAACATGAAATACCCATGTTCTTATTGTTGTTAGGTGCCATCAAGTCGGCTGCAACTCAGAGCAACACTATGTACAACAGAACAAAACACTTCCAGGTCCTGTGCCAGCCTCACAATCCTTGCAATAGTTGGGCCATCATTGCAGCCACTGCAACAATCCATCTCATTGAGGGCCTTCGCCTTTTTCACTGACCCTCTACTTTACCAAGCATGATAACCTTCTCCAGGAAATGATCCCTTCTGACAACATGACCAAAGTAGGTGAGATGAAGTCTGGCCATTCTCATTTCCAAGAAGCATTCCATCTGCACTTCTTCCAGGACAGATTTGTTCAATCTTTTGGTAGTCCATGGTACTTTCAGTACTCTTTGCCAATGCCACAACTCAAAAGCATCAACTCTTCTTAAGTTTTAATTGTTCACTATCCAGCTTTCACATGTATGTAAGGCTATTGAAAATACCATGGTTTGAGTTAGGCACGTTAGTCTTCAAGGAGACATCTTTGTTCTTCAATCCTTAAAAGAGGTCTTTTGCAGCAGATTTGTCCAGTGCAATACGTTGTCTGATGTTTTGACTGCTGCTTCCATGGGTGTTTATTGTGGAACCAAGAAATATGAAATCTTTAACAACTTCAAACTTTTCTCCATTTATTGTGATGTTCCTTATTGGTCCAGTTATGAGGATTTTCATTTTCTTTATATTGAGATGTAATCCATACTGCAGACTGTAGTCTTTAATCTTCTTCAGTAAGTGCTTCAAGTCATCCTCACTTTCAGCAAGCAGAGTTGTTTCATCAGCATATTGCGGGTTGTTAATGAGTCTTCCTCTAATCCTGATGCCATATTCTTCTTCATATAGTCCAGCTTCTCAGATTATTTGCTCAGGATATAGACTGAATAAGTATGGTGAAAGGATACAACCCTGAAACACCCCTTTCCTGATTTTAAACAGTGCAGTATCCCCTTGTTCCGTTTGAATGACAGCCTCCTGGTCTATGTACGGGTTCTCCATGACTACAATGAAGTGTTCTGGAATTCCCATTCTTCTCAATGCTATCCATAAATTATGATCCACACAATCAAATGCTTTTGCACAGCCAATAAAACACAAGTAAACATCTTTCTGTAGTCTTTGCTTTCAGCCAAGATCCATCTGACATCAGCTATGATATCCCTCATTTCACGTCCTCTTCTGAATCCAGCTTGCATTTCTGAAAGTTCTTTGTCAATACACTGCTGCACCCATTTTTGAATTATCTTCAGCAAGATTTTATATGTGATACTAATGATATTGTTTGATAATTTCTACATTCTATGGGATCACTTTTCTTTGGAATGGATACAAATATGGATCTTTTCCAGTCAGTTGGCCAGGTAGCTGTCTTCCAAATCTCAGCATAGACAAGTGAGTGCCTCCAATGCAGCATCTGTTTGTTGAAACATCTCAGTGGGTATGCTGTCAATTCCTGGAGCCTTGTTTTTGCCAATTCCTTCAGTGCAACTTTGATTTCTTCCTTCAGTACCATTGGTTCTTGATGATATGCCACGTCCTGAAATGGATGAACATTGACCAAGTCTTTTTGGTACACAGATTCTGTGTATTCCTTCCATCTTCTTTTGATGTTTCCTGCATAATTCAATATTTTACCCATAGAATCTTTCAATATTGCAAATTGAGGCTTGAATTTTTCCTCAGTTACTTCATCTTGAGAAATGCCATGCATGTTCTTCCCTTTTGGTTTTCCAACCTCAGGTCTGTGCACATTTCATTATAATATTTGACTTTGTCTTCTCAGCTGCTCTTTAAAATCTTCTGTTCAGCTCTTTTATCTTGTCATGTCTTCCATTTGCTTTAGCTACTATCCATTCAAGGGCAAGTTTTCAGAGTCTCTTCTGACATCTATTGTGGTCTTTTCTTCCTTTCCTGTCTTTTTAATGACCTTTTTCTTTCTTCAAGGATGATGTTCTTGATGTCATCCCACAATTTCTCTGGTTTTCAGTCATTGGTGTTCAATGCTTCAAATCTATTC